GGCTGTCACAGTGGCAGGCTCCAGGGCTACCAGCAGTGCTTCCCACAAGTAGCACTTGTCTGGCCCGGGCACATGCCAGCAGAGATGCGTCTTCCTGCCCCACCCCAGAATGCACCTGCAATTGCCGGGGAGGCCAGAGCTGCAGAAGTCGCGTCTGCCCTCCCCTGCCATCCCCATGAGCAGCCATATGGGCAGGTGGCACTCAGCTCCAACGACCTGGCAGGGCGTTGTCCTGGGGTGGCAGAGCCTGCTGGCCCTCACTCACTGATGAGACGGCTGTGCTCCTGTGGGCTGTGCTGTGTCTTTGCTCTATCTCCTTGAACTGCCTGCTGTGACAGGCTCTGCACACTCACTGCTCACTGTGCGTCTCTGTCCGGGCCCCTGGGGGTGCGGGCACAGTGGAGAATGTGCCAGAAAGACATGTCTCGGACCCTGAACTCCTGCAGGTCTCCCTGCGGTGACCCAGAGCACTCACACATGGACACAACGGGAGCAAACTCTGGGACTGGGTGGGGACCTGCACTTAGTTACTGTGCAGGGGGTTAAATCAGCGCCAGCACGTCTCTGTAAATCCCCTGCTTCTCAGAGCGCGTCTTTATAACGGGCAATAACGGCGGCTGCCCGCAGCTTCCAGAGCACCGCGCCCACGGACCTCAGGTCCCGCTGTGCCTCATTTTGTTTTTTCTGGGCATTCTGACAAGGACTGAAGGAGGAGACAGCAACGGAGTGCTGACATCGGCAGGGCAGGCACGGGGTACAGGGTCTGGGCTCCCCTGGGGAGCAGCAGCCATCAGAGCTCATGAACGCCCCCACCTGGGCGCTAGGGAACCCTTACCCCTCTTCTGGCTCAACCGTGGCGGGAGGTAGGCATGGAGACGCCAGCTCTGGATGAAGTGAATGGTAAAGAAGGTCCCAGACCTGATCCTGATACCCAGTAAGGAATGGCACTGAGTGGATAAACCTGAAAAGGCCCAGGAGTGTGTTTTATAATAGCACAGGCTGTCGGCCCTGAGCTCGCGCCCGGGACGCTGCTGTGCCGTCGGGACACGTTCAGTTCGGCTACAGAAGGGGAGACAAGCAGGACAGTAGGACAGAGGAGACACCCCGATGTGTCAACAAAGAGGGGGCTGGTGCTCCTGCTCAAGGGAAGGTTGAGGCCACCAGCCAGGGCGGTCATCTAGGGCGGGCAACTGGACAAGACTGAACAAGGACAGCAGCTGAGTCAGAAGCTCCAAGATGCACAGAAACAATGACCGAACTAGCAAGGGTCTCCTGGAGGAGCCATGGCCATGGCGCTCTGCTCCAGGGACAGGTGGGAGGCTGACGGGCAGCTTCGCTGCCAGGGAATGCACCCTCCATCAAACCACCGGTAGCTTGGCCCTGGGACCCCCCCAGCAAACCTCAATTCCTGCCCTTGCTGCCCCCAACAGTGGAGTGAAAAGTGAGGTGGACACATGGGCACAGCTTACAGCTGTCCCCGCGAGCCCCTGCCCAATCCCCGTGTGCCCTGCCCCTGTCCCCATACCCCATCCCCATAGGCCCTGCCTCATCTTGTGCCTCAATTCTTGCTTCATATCTAAAGTAGACTAAGGCACATGCACACACATGTACATGTGCATATACAAGCGTGCACACGCCCAGTTGCAACTCAAGTATCTTAGTTTGGAGCACAAGTCCCTGGGACCACCTGTCCATCAGACGTTCTGCCTCTGAGGACTCTACACTCTGATTCCGGCCAGGTGGGGCACCTGAGCTGGCAAGAGCCAGCTGTGGAGCTGTGGAGAGCCCCATCAGGCAGGCTGCTGACCAGGGTGGACCAGCCATTTCAGAGCTACTTATTGTTGGACTCTGAGTCTAGTGGTTTCATCTGTAACCTAGAAAGACCTCCAGAGCTGACTGTCAAGGGCGCAGCTCAGCCAGGTTCCCGGCCCCGCAGGGCAGCTCCGGGACATGGCTCGGGAAGCGTGAGACTAAACTAGGCCTGGCATGTTCTTCTCTTCTAGTATCAACTAGAAGCATCAGCAAAGTAGATACAAAGTGATTTTAAAGTTTATATAAGAAATACTCAAAATGAAAGGAATTCAATTTACACCTCAACATAGATGATTTATTTAATTTTGGCAGTGGATGACTTGAGTTCACAGAGAACACAGACTCAAGTACTGCGGTGCTCTCCCGGACAAAGGCTGTGAAAGTTACACACAGAGGATCCTGAAGCCTCAGACTCTGGTTCAGATAGGAAATAAACACCACCTTGTGTGGAAACCCAGTTTTCCTTGTTAATCTTTAATGGAAGACTTCAAAAGTACAAATGGTTTTTTTTTTGGTTAATTTTTTTTACCTTTTCGCTCCAAAAGGGAACCGAGTTCAAACCCTGCCCATCGTCAGCTCTGAATGCCTCAGGGCTCCGGGGCTGACGCGCGTCCCCTCCCCGCCCGAGGCCGAGAGCTGTGGCTCCCGCTGGAGGAAGGGGTGGCCTCGCAGGTGCCCAGACAGCCAACATAAAACAGCTCAAACATGAGTAGGAAACTCCAGATGAACCAACCAGGAACGCGCTTTCAGGATTTTTGCATAAAAGATTCGAATTAAAAAAAAAATTTTGAGGTCACTACCTGCGGGAGGTGATTTTCACTTCCTGTGCGCTGCGCTCACGTCGGGCCCACGTGCGGGTGGGGGTGAGAAGTGGGGGCGGGCCCTGGAGGCTGCTGGGTAAGGGTCAGAGACCCGCCCCCACCACGGCAGAGAGGCCCCCAGGGGGCAGGCCCCGCCCCGCCCCGCGCTGCCCCGCCCCGCCCCGCCCCCAGCGGGCGGGCACTGACCTCGGGGCTCAGCACCGCGGTGCTGTCGCTGGGGACGTCCTCCTCGTAGCCCTTGTTGCGGCCGCTCCCCGCGTCTGGCCCCGTGCTGCCCTCGCTTGGGCACGTGTAGGAGCAGCGCGGGCTGTTGCAGTGAGAAAACTCGCACTTGCTGTCCCCGACCTCTGAGGGCGTGCACGACAGGTGGGGCGAGCCGCTGTCGTCTTGGTAGGGCGGGGGCTGCAGCTCGTCCAGCGGGGGCGTCCTCCTCATCCTCTGAATGCAGTTTCCTGGGGCAAGGAAGGGGGAGAGCCGTCACCGCGGCGGCAGGCGCTGGGGGGCTCGGCGCCACGCCGGGCTCGCCTGCTGGGGGTGCTGCGCGCCCAGGTCCCAGGAGCTTCCTCACGCCTCTCCCCCGAGTAACAGGAGGGGAAACCAGACGGCAGGGACCGGGAGAGGCCCGGCGGGGCAGGCGGCCCGGCCACGTGTCCCGCCTCCGGCTGGGTCCGACAGGAGGCTCAGTGCGCTTAAGGCCGCACCCCGAACTCGGAGGCCGACTCAGCCCTGCTTTGCCTCGGGGGCTGAATATTTTGTTCTCACATAGAATTACAGAGCTACAGGGCCGCTCAACAGTCTCCGACGTGTACTCACCAATTTCGGGACGAAACCCTAAGTGTTTCCGGCACCACCTAACATGCAGCCCTGGCCCCCCGAGGGCGCACTGGCACTGCTCCGGCTCTCTCTCCCCACGCCCTGGCGCCCTCAGGGCCCAGGCGGAATTCCAGAAATTTCCCACGCGGGCGTCCCCTTCCTTGGGCCAGGCTCCTCCCGCGGCCAGGGGTGTCCTTGGCCTGCCCTCCCTTTCCATAGATGACCCCACAAGATTCAAGTGACTTGTTAACCTCAGAAAAATTCCCACGCTACACTTTCTTTTTCCCTTTCGAGTTGTTTCTCACCCGCTCAGAACCATTCCCATCTCCCAGGAGATGTCCCCACATCTGCAGCGCGTTCCTGCAAAGGGGGCGGGGGGCGCAAGAGGGGGTGGGGGAGGGCTCGGTGCCCTACTAAGTGCTCCCAGGACGCTCTAGCTCCAGCGCTTACACTGGATCTGCCAATTCATCCCACTGCAGGTGGCCAGCGCCTTTCTGCACCCCTGTGGTGTCCGACACACAGTATTGCCCTAAAAATCTCTGCCGAAGAAAGGGCAAATCTACGGGTGACCCACACGTGAGGCAGGCTTCTGGGTTCGCAGACAGTGAGCATGCTAAGAAAACGATGTAAGTTCATCTTCACATTAAGGAAATACTAAAGAGGTCACTGATGTTTAGTAAAGTACAGAATGTGGGAAAAGGATGAGAGGAAGTATTGTCTTTAAGATTTCTTTCCAGAAACAAATATGAAAAAGTCTAACGGGAGAAGTTTATGTTATGTGACTGATGACATTAAAAAAAAAGTAAGAAAATGACCTAGGATTTCTTACAGGATGACTCACAAAATGGCCTTAACAATGAAATGACATAGCACATAGACAATTCCTACTGCTACCCCTGTTCAAGACTAATTGGATTTTAACTACATAACAGAATAAGGATTTTAAGTTCATGGCTTTGAATTCACTGGCTCATCCTAAAAACAGCAATTTTTGAACACAAAAAAGATGTCTTGTATTCCTCATACAACCTTACAAACGCACAATAGAAAAATCAAGGGATAAACTGAAAAATATCACTTTGAAATAACACAAGGATGACCCAATGTAAGTGGCCAGTGGGGTTTCTTCTTTTCCTCTACTCAACTACACTGAAGCTGCAAGACTCCTGATAAATTAAGCTGGCTGAATTTTGAAAGAAATCATGCCCAAAATTCCAGTGTCACTTTCCAGCAATATTTTTGTTTGTCTTTTCATCCCAGTGCTACTCAGTTTTACCTGTGGAAAATATTTCATGTTAATGAATAGTAAAACTGAAATAATAATAATAATAATGAAAAATACTATCAAGGAACTTATTTTCATGCTAGAGCAGCTGGCAATGGGTTAGCTCTCTGCTGTAAATGAGTATAAAACTGGACAAAGTACAGACACAACTCTTTTCCGGTGACGGGCAACACGCAGGGTATGGGGGCAGCACTTGGCAGCCGCTCAGCTGCCCACTCCACCTGCGGACAGAGTCTTAGCCTTGGCCACTGCCCAGGGAAAAAGTCCTTGAAGGAGCTTTATTTCTGGAGCTTTTTGTTGGGTAAAGAATTCAAGGTTGACAGCCTTTAAAAAGTTCCTTTCAGCACTTTGCTCACAACACCCTGTGGGGACCTGGCTTTAGAGCCAGCAAGGGCTCTGCTACCCTCTCTCACGGCAGCACATGATCCAGTTTTTATTTTCTTCAAGCTGCTTAGTCTTGTTGAGCTTCACAGGCTTACAGACTTACTGTTCTCTTCAAACACGGAAAATTTCCAGTAGTAACATTTTTAAATATGTTTCTGTTCCCATTGCCCTGTCCTCATCACATGTCACCGCACCCAATATTGCCTCTCAGATTAGCAGCTTCGTGACGCTATCCTCTCTGCGCTCTACCCTGGGCTACAATTCTTCAATGTCCACCTGTTAACCCCACCCAGTATGTTCAGCCCGTTTTTAATTTCGGAGACTGCATTTTCCACATCCTTGAGTTCCTTTGGTCTTCTCAGGTCTTCCATCTCTTTTTTCATGATTTTCCTTACATTCCCAAGCACAATAATATACTCGACACGAGCTGTTGTAAGACCCCTGCCGGCTCATTTCATTATCTTTGCTGCTTATTTCTGTTTCTGTTTATTTTCCCTACACCCCACCACATCATGGGTTGTTTTGTTGTTGTTGTATACTTGGAAATTATTAGCTGCTGAGCATTGTGAATCTTACATTGCTGAATACTAAATTTTTGTTGTATTCCACTGGATAGTGTTTTGACTTTATTCTGGCATACAGTTACATTTCTTGAGGATAAGATCAATCTTTTGAGTCTTCCTCGTACCTAGGTTTGGTGAGCATGGTTCAGAGTGTTCTCAACCTTAATGCTGAGTTAGTCCCACTGGTCATCTGTGGCCTTACTGAGGATGCCACTCAGTGCCTCTCTGCTGGGGGTGCTGGAAACACACGTCATCTTCACCCCTGTGCAGGTCCTGGGAATTATTCTACCCACTGCTTTCTGACAGCTCCTTTCCAAGATGCAGGTAACTGTGTCACATGCATGCATGGTCAGTGCCACACCAGCAATGTGGAGATGCCATGAACTTGTCAGCAGCTTCGTCCTCCATCCACTCCTGCACTCAGCCCCACACACCCCACCCCCTTCCATCTCCCTCAACTTTATCTCTGTCTTTCAACTCAAGAGATTTCCAGATTCCATTTTGTTTCTCCTTCGCGCGCTGCAGCCTCCAGACAGTAAGTCGAGGCACCCAGATGTTAACTCACTTACTGGCTTTCCCTCTCGGCTCATTGTCCTGCCCTTCAGAAGCTGAAGTCTTTGCTCTTCATTCTCTCCTTGGTGTTGTAATTACTTATGGCAGGAAAGCAAATCTGACCACAGTTACTTCTTCATGAGTTAAAGTAGAAATTCTAAGTCTTCTAATTTTTTTTTTTCTAAGTCTTCTAATTTTAAGCAAAGCAGTAATGAACTAGATCAAGCATCCATAATCAGGGCAGTGTTACCCCAAGAGTAATTAGCTAAGAGGAGGGCAATAAAAAATCTTAACTATTATAGTGCTTTGTGGCCAACCAAAACTTAACCCTTTCTGAATGAATTTTAATTCCTTAGTATTTTTCTTCTTGTTATGTAGAAATTAAAGTAATTTAATTAATTGATTTACATAAATAGAATTAAAATCGTCTCTGTAAGGAAGCAATGATGAAAGAAGGTTGAGAAACTTGGGTCTAGATAGCTTGACAAGTCATTCCACTGAAGCCAAAAAAAATTGTGATTAAAAAAACCCATCAGGTCCCAGAGCTGTGCCCACCCATGTCACACACATAGCGTTGATGAGACCTATCCTGAATGCTACCCACCTGCTTGGTAGTTCTAGGGTCCGAGCTAAGACACGAGCTTCCACATCTTTCTGTCCCTTCCTGGGCACTCTAGAACAGGGGGTTTAATCCCTAGAACTGGGATGGACACGACAACAAATATATTTCATGAATACATGTTTTAAATCATGAACAGTATTGCTACGTAGTGCTGACCCTCACCATGCACAAAAGCTGTGTGTGTGGTCTGTACAGCGTCACTGTCACGGCTTTCATGGTGGGTATGCAGTGTGGCGACCACCATGCCTGCTCTGCCAGAAAACTCATGGCTGTCACAAACAGACAGCTCTTCAAGTCTCACAGGCACCGTTTCCAATATCCAAGACTCCACTTATAGTTCAGAAGCCTTCTCCGGCCCATTTAACAACTCCATCCTCTGAGTCACGGCTCTGTACCCCATACTTACAGTACTTAGGCACTGTGATTCTTTGTTTAAAAAATAAATCCCAAAATCACAGTGGGAGATCACTTCACACTGACTAGTACAGCTACCATAAAAATACAGGTAAACAGGGCCTCCCCAGGTGGCACAGCGGTTGAGCGCTAGGCTGTGAAGCTGCCCACAGCCTTTGCAGCACCGGTTCAATTCCCGGCTGCTCCCCGGCCACCGGAGGAGGGTCCCGCATGGCGTGCAGACCTCTCCTGCCGCCCGCTGCTCCCCTCAGCAGTGTACTTCATCAGTCTGCCTGCTCTGCTCTGCCCGCTTGACTCCGGTGAATTCTCTCACCCTCCCGTGCTTCTGACTGTACCCAGTGCTTATATAAATAAATCTTAAAAAAAAAAAAATTTAAAGTGGAGGACAAATAGAGCATTCTTTTTTAAAAAGTTAATACAAGGTTTATTTACAAGGGAAATGAGAGAAGGGAGAAAACACACACACGCACACACACACAGACACACAGCAGCCTGGTTCCCAGTAGCCACCATATAGAAAGGGTGCAGATGTCCACTGAGTGACAGATGGATGATGGAGAATGACTTAGTGATAATAAGAAACATGGCACAATGCATGTTGCAACCTGAGGGACCCTGAAGACATCACGTTTACAAAGCTCCAGAGCTGCACCAGTCAGCTCTATGAAGTGTGGGTGAGGGTGGGGGAGGGGATACAGATAAACAGAAGCCCATGGGTGACCGCCCAGGTCTGGGAGGGGTGCCATGGAATGACGACCAGCAGGTCCAAGGTCTCTCTAGGGTGATGAGAATATTCTAGAATTAACATGTGGTGTGGAT